TATACTAAGAAGAGCGCTCTATCCTGTAGGGTGCAAAACTGCTACTTCATCCTCGCCCGCACTTCCCCTGACCTATGTTGTCCCACGCTCAGCTTTTTTCTTCTTCCACCGCCCCTCCGCTATTTTCCCTACCGCCTTCCTTCCGTCTGCTTTCCCTCTCTCCCTCAGCAAGCTATATTACGTACTTTTATTTAGGCCGTACTGCGCGTCTGAAACGGTGCTCGCTCATGCGCAATATCTCCCGAGAAAAAGAATATTTTGCAAACATTATAAATTTAAAATGAAGAGGAGTTAATCTAACATAGATTTCTATGATAACATTTTTCAGTAGACCTCACTACAGAAATAGGAAGCAGACCTTGCATGAAAGGTTCCCACTGCATATACCAGTCAGTACACAATCTGGCTACGTTACTGTTTTAGCGCGTGCGCAATATCTCACCAGAGGAGTTTTATTTTGTGATGAAAATGCATTTACTATGAACAGGGGGTATCTCAGCATCGATTTCTGTAATAAATTCTTATCGTTAGACCTGAATATGGGGATTGGTCCGAAGTGAAATGTTGCAAAATGCATTGCTATTGTCAAAAGTGTATTCGCCTTTATATTGACTCTTGTTTCGAGTTTCGAGTTGTACTGTATATTCAGCTGTACTGCACATCCCCCAATTGCATAATCATTGCAAATTGGACATCATTGTGAAGGGAAATGAACAGGCTTTCTAATTATACCAAATTCAATGATAATAATGCAGGTACAAGAGAGATATCATCGATCACACCTAAATTTCCGAACTGTTTTTAGTGTGTAGATGAAAAGTCTCCAAATTATTTTTAAAAAACTTCGGCAGTTTACGGGTTAAGAGATACAGGGTAAAGACGGTATTCGTAGTGTCTTTCATTTTAGATACAGTGTAAACAAAAGTTTATTACTTTAGATACAGTGTTTACATTAAAGGTAGTAGCCCTCATCTGCACACCCTGCCAATTTCCATAAAATTTTATTTGTAGATGCCAATTGGCATCAGGATATTTTCTTTGAGTTCTTGAGGCGTCTTCCAGTCGCCTTAAGAGGAAAACGTTTAATTTCTCATTTAAATGTCACATTATAACTATAAATCCAATGCTGTGATATGTTTACTTTGATGAGTCCTCGTTTTAAGTTACAATAAGCTTAAATTCGTTCGAGACCTCCCACGATGCTGTGCAAATGAGGGCTACAACCTATAAAGGAAAAGGAGATTCTAGTCATTTTTTTTTATCTCAGACTTCAGTATCCATAAACAGAAACATGTTTCACTCCGTGAATGGTTGTAATTCCAGTACATGTATAAAGTGTCAAGTTAAAATTTTGTTTTGAGATAAATTTAAGAGATACATAAAGATATCATAGCTGAAGCTACCATGCTTTAACAAGTTAAATTCTGAATATATTGGTTGCCCCCCCCCCTTGACAAGCCCCTGACGGAATACAATCAACGATATACCGGAAGAAGTCAAAAAAGCATTATTTGAAATGGAATGTTTTGAAAATTCATCTACCTCTAGTGATCAGATGACCTAGTTTATGGCATGTAAACGCTACAAACAATAGTCGATACTTGCAATTAAAATGCTCGAAAATATACCTGTTAGAGATCAAATATACGAAAAGTTCCTACCGTTGGACGGGGGATACCCCCTCCAAG